GGGGGGGGGGGGTTTATATAAATACATGAATCGATAACAATAGATTTTACCTCGTGATCTGATTCTCCATGGGAGCGGGGAAATAGCGGTGTGAGGGCAGGGTGCTAGTATCAGAAGGCTTGGCATTACACTTTATGCATTCTGCGTCCAGGTGTAGGTATTAATGACAGTCTCACTGGTTTATAACTGCATTGACGAGAAGTGATCTTCTCATCAGTCACAGGTCCAATGGTTTCAGAGAAGTCGCCTCTTGGCAATTGTTCAAACACAACTTTCCTGATAAGTCATCCCGCGAGGCGTTGTTTTTGTTTAGGGGTCCGTTCTTTTCATCGGGGCTAGTTACGCCTTGTTTAGGCCTAGCTTCAACGTTCAGCCGGGATCCCACCAGCGGGAGGTGTGCTTCCACCGGGCGCGGGTCGGGGAGTTGAACCACTGCTCAACCGCTCCCCCTTGGGCATGCTAGCTCGGTTGCTCACCCTTTTGCATGGCCGGGTGGCCTGACTCCAGGTCTGCCTGAATTTCTCACCATTTCCTGTCCGTAGGAGTGATGAGATGCTTCTTGATCTATCTGTTACGATTCATCGTCTGATCATGTCGTGATATGCTTTTTTCGCGGCGGCTGGATTCCAGTATTGGTGTCTTTGGTTAAAGGAGTGGGATAGAGAAGCTTTCCCATATCATCCAGCCCGCCATTCGAAAGAGTGTTAGCCATCGCTCCCGCCTCACTACTGCTAAGCAGTTTAGAGCAAGACTTCTTGATAAGTGGTGTTGGTCCCAGCCTTTTCATATAGATTTGCATATTATCTGGTTGCTACATTTAATATCTGCTCTGACTTCTTTACCAACTTTTCTTTATCATTAGTTAAGGCCTGTATAGACCTACCTCTCTTAAGGAATTTTCCAAGACCTCAGAAATCATTAGGAGCATTGTTCATCAGATCAGGTCATTTTAGCTTTAGCTCTCAGCATCTGTTTTTTCAGATTTTCAGTGCATCATAGCATGCATGCAATTATGCCTTCACAGTTGCTACCTTTTTGGTGAATCTTTTGATTCTTGGTAACTGATTATACTTCTTGATCTTTCTTTCAACCTTCTGTATCTTTTTTTCTTCCTTTTCTGCTGTAGGCAAAATTCCATTTTAAGAATCGTCTCAACCTCTGGCTGGTAGAGTCATGGTGTTGACATTTACACATCATATACCTCTACCCATCTTCAGTACATCTCTAGGACAGTATTCAACCATTTCATAGAATGATCAGTCCAGATTGATGTGTTCAGAAGCTTCCACTTCAGGCACTTGCGAAACGCTTTACTGATTATGTAAATCCTATCTATCCGGGCAGCAGATTTGAGTTCATTGGTTCCCCACCAGGTGAACTTTCTTCTTGTCTGGTAAGGTTGCCTGCCAACCATCCACCATGTGTAGAGACTCATTTAGGCGGAGGAAATTCTCGCAATGCTCCATGAACTATAGACTCCACACTTCTCTTGCTGGGTTTCTTCAAGGGCACTAGTGTCCTTCAGTATTGAAGTCTCTAATTATAAAATCCAGCTTGTAGAGATTGGATATGATAGTCATTTCATCAAAGAAATTCTTACATTCCTTCCATTAGCCCATTAGGTGTGCATATGGATGATCTCCGTAAAAATCTTTGGGGAGGCAGCTTCAGGGACAAATCTCACTTTTATACCCCCTCCATTTGTGTCGCATCATATTATTTCACAGTTCTTCACTCAGTAAGAGCTAGTATCACAGCATTGACTTCCTCAGTTTGGATGTGAGCTGTTTAAACACCACTCACACCCCCTTCATCATTGTTTATAGTAGATTAGTCTCTTCTCTGTGATGTAAGATTCCACTAAAACTAGTTACAAGATTGTGTTTCTGTTCATGAAGAAATCTAAGGACTTCAGGTACTTTCTTCACATCCCTCAGACCCCTCATGTGATGCCAAGACTCTCTATACTAGCTCCTTGCCCTCACACTGCTTACCACACTGCTTACTAGAGCACTTAATTAGTTAACGTAATTCCACACCGAGTCGGCCACCACACCGAGTCGGCCAGCAAATTCACTGTATCCCAACTAGGTAGTTTTTAATTCAAATTATCTCAACGCAACAAAGCTCAATTAAATTAAATTAAATTACACTTGGTTGAGGGCATCTTAGTCTTGTATGCCCAAGCATTCCACAATTGCTGCATCTTCGTGGCGCTCGTACGCGTGCTGCGGGCTCAGCAGCTGAAGGCTTGGGGGGTTGAATAACTGGCTGTTCAACAGGCTCTGCAGGCTCTATAGGGCCTACTAGAAGACTTTGAACTTCTTCACTAGTTAAACCTCCTACTTCCTGCCCAATTCGGCGCCTAGATCTCTTGCGCTTTTGCTTCTCTATCTCATCGGTGTTGAATATATCCTGGTATTGCTTCTTAATAATTGTGGCACTAACCATCCCATATTCACAGGCCTTGATAATTTGGTCAAAACCTTCCACAAAGCCTTGAGGCTGACCCTCCACTAAGCCCTTGATCTTATTCGCCTGCCAGTGTAATTGCTGGCGATTACTAGGTGTTTGAAGCACCCAGGACATGGTTGAATTGCTAGAGCTGCTGCGTGGGGGGGTAGGGGTCCGTAGTTGAATATCCAGCTGCTGGAGGACGTAGTCAGGCTGAAAGGGCACTATTCCAGTTGCCTTGAAGCCATTTTGAATAGTCTGAGGTTTGAAGGCTGCAGCGCGTGCTGCAGGGTAGGCATCTAGGAAATCTGCCTTCCAAATGGCATTAAATCCAAGCCGCATTCGCTGCTGAACTAGATCTCCGTACGCTCGCTTTAAAACTGAAAAAACACCCACATCTAGTGCCTGCAGAAGGTGAGAGGAATGAGGCGGCATGCAAAGGCATATTATAGTATTATCCTTGCAGATTTGGTCAAATTCTGGGGTAAGGTGACTGCCGTGCCCGTCCAGGATAAGAAGGATAGATCTGCCAACTCTGCGAGGATCTGCTGCTGGAATAAACACCCGTTGAAGCCATCTCAGGCCTATTTCATCAGTAGTCCAGCCATTTGGACTGGCAACTAGCCTCCAGCCTTCTGGAAGGCCTTCAAACCAACCTTCCAACAAGCCCTGGCCTTTGAGGATGAGATAGGGAGGTAGAGCCCATCCTGACGCGTTGACTGACTCAACTACAGCCACCCATTCACGGTTTCCAGGCTGTAGGAGCTTTGCTCTGCCATAGTGCTTACTACTAGTAATGACCTTAGTAGTGGCACAGAGCCCCATAGCAAAGCCAGTCTCATCAAAGTTGTATATATCCTCTGGCACAATCCCATGCTCAGCAATTGTATCTCCTAAGGTCTTAAACCAATCCTTTATAACCTGCTGATCTTCACACTTGGCCCGGTCATGATTATAGCGTCTGGAATAGCGGCTTTAGAGCTCCGTACAACGTTTAATCAGCCTTGAAATCCAGTTCTTGCTGACCCAAGGGGGGGAGGTAGTGGAGGCAGTGGAATTCCGTAAGGTAAGAAGATAATTAGCCATATCTTCAACAAATGCCGGCCGGGGGGGGAATCCTCGTTTAGCTTGGTCCAGCACCCATTCAACTAGCCTATCCTCTTCAGCAGCAGATAATTTGTGAGAGTTTGCGCGTAAATTCACCCGTGAGGGCCGGTGCTTGAGGCGATCTTGAAGAGTAGACCTAGGCACATTAAATAGCTTTGCAGCTTCACGAATTGAGAGCTTTTCATCATTTTGAATAGATTTTATCGCGAGTTCAATCCTCCCCTCTTGCTCAACTGAATTTGAAGAGTTTTTCTTGCATTTTGGTGGCATAATTGCGCGTTGAATTGAATGAGCAGTTAAATTAGTAGGTGGAGAAATTTGGTGGCCGACTCGGTGTGGAATTACGTTAGTTACCTCCACACTGCTTATCAAAGCACTTTAGGATCAGCACCTCCTAGAGGATCAGCATCATCTCAAGATTCAGCATTTGGGATCAGCACAGATCAGCACTTCTCAAAAATCAATCCTTTAGAATCAGCACTTCCTGGAGGATAGGATCAGCACTTCATGGAGAATCAGATCACTGCATTATGGAAGATTAGAGATAAAACCTATTGCTACTCATTCATGTACATAAACACCCTGAATCCCCAAAGTTCCTTCAAGAGATTCAGTGGTTAGCTGCTATTCAATCCTACACATACATTTCATCCATCACTATCCTCCTCCCTTCATAGCGCTCGCAGCGTCTATATACCTACCCTCTTACGATCTTAGTTATAGAGCTTCTCACGCTTCCTTTTGACACTTAGTTCATCCACCTTAGTGTCCTCACACCTCACATTTAACAGTCCTAGTCTCATTTTGATATAGAATTTGTTAGGGAGTGAATGCGAGCTGCATAAGAAAGGATTCTCTGCGTTGCTAACTGCGATGTAACGAAATACTAAGCTTGGTGAGAGAAAAAGAGGTGCTGGGGTCCGCCGGGATTATAAACTGTTGAGCGTATGTGGGGGATTGGTTAATCTCCTTCTTGTTGTGGTTGAAGCTAGCTAACTATATAGGGTTCATCACGTGCGGTGGAGTGGTCGCCCAGGCTACTGGGGGCCCAACAACCCAGCTAGGGCCCAACAGCCCAACACCCCCCCACGCGCCAACATGCGTGATGTTGTTCCTACTAATCTTCTACTAATCTTCTATGCTAGCTAGCTATCTTATCCTAGATCCTCCTGAAACTTGCTACATACTAAAAATCAATCATTCCCACTATTATCAGTGGAAAGCCCTAGTAAACTAATTAAACGCCTAAATGCCACTATCACTATGCCCAGAGGTTTGGTTAATCCGTCTGCTGCCATATCCTCAGTGGGAATGTGGTTGATTGAGATAACACCTTCATTCAACTGCATGCGAGAATAGTCGAAGCGAGTGTCAATATGCTTGCTACGTGCTGTGATGGCAGCAACAGTAGCTAGGTCAATTGAACCTTTGTTATCTGCTATGATAGGCAAAGGATCCTCTGCCGTATTGAATCCCAGGTCTATCATCATATTGTGTAGCCACGTTGCTTCGTGTACTGCTTCACTGAGTGCCACGTATTCTGCTTCATTTGAACTCAAAGAAACACAAGATTGTTTGGATGAGCGCCATGAAATTGGTGCACCTGCTAGCTTGAATATGAAACCTGAAGTAGATTTGCGATCACCATTCAGCGGTCCTGCCCAATCTGAATCCGTATAACCTAATGGCAGATATGACGCGTTGGGGAAATCATCAATCTTGTTCTTGGGGCCTTCATATAAGACGCCTAGGTCGCTCGTCCCTTTTAGGTATTGTATGACGCGAAGGAGTGCCCTTCACGCCTTAGGTGTAGGCGCAGTGTTCTTCTGCGCTAGTAGGGATGCCGCTCGCGTGATATCCGGACGTAATTTAACTGCTAGATATTGTAGGCACCCTACTCCATGTTATCATTGTTTGGTAAACCCTCCTTCTTGTTCTGATGCAGGGGCATCATCAATCTTCAGTCCTTCTAGCATTGGTGTTGGGACAGGGACAGCATCATCTAGGCAGAAATCCTGCACTAAGTGATTGATATAATGTCTCAATGTCAATTTTATCCCACCATCAGGGCGACGTTCGACTTCCGTACCCAAGTATTTAGAAGATTCTTTCAAATCTTTTATTTCTAATTTGCCTGCCAGAGTATCAACTAGTTAATCAGCATCTGCTGAATCTTCTGCTATAATATGAAGGTCGTCCACATAGATTGTCATATAGAGATGCTTGCGGGATGTGTGACACCATAGAGCAGGGTCATAGGGGCTAGGTTTAAGATCATTCTCACGGAGCAATGTCGTAAGGAAATCATACCAGATCTTAGCTGTCGGATCTAGTCCATATAGAGAACCCCCAACAGCGCATACCATTGTGTGTGGAGTCCCCACCTCAAATCCAGAGGGTTGCCGCATGTAGACAGTCTTGCCCAGTCGGCCGTGTAGATAGGCCATCACTATATCAATTTGGCATAAGATCCAACCTCGCTTGGCTGCAATCGCAAACATCATGCGGGTTAGTAGTATCATTGACAACAGTGGTGTATGTTTCTTCATGTGTGCTCTTCTTTAACCAATTACCACACACTACCCATCGAGATTTTCGTAGAATGCCATCAGGATCTGCGTTGGGGTCCTGTGGGCGATCTTTTTCAACATAAACCCAGCGGCCAGGGGCCACAGGCTCACCATTAGGGACATCGGAACGTGGAATCATTGTCCAGGTATTCCTCCGTTCCAAATCTGCAATCTCACATTCCATTGATCTTTTCCAGTATTCGCCAACCCCCCCTGGTCTATTAATGGCGTCCTTATATCCTTTTGGAAGGGAACCGGTGAGGGGAGAAGGAACATATGTGCTGAATGGTTTTGCTGGTCTTACCCATTCAGCATCAGCTATCTCAGGAGTGATAGTGTTTTCCACAAGATATGTTGCTGGACTTGCAGCTCCAGCTGTTGTACTGATGATGTCTTCTTTTAAGATTGTGGATGCTTTTGCAGGGAAAACGACATCACTGGTGGCTATTATTTTGTCATTAGTAGGACTCCAGAGGCGGTAGATTGAGTTGCCGCAGAATCCAATAAGTTTGAAGATCTCTGCCCTAGCAGATAACTTGTCAGGATCCATGAAGGTGAGCATAAACATCAATGCCTAACTCCCTAAAATGACGAAGTCGGGGCGGGGTATTGGTTAGCGCTGAGATTGGAATTGTATGAGGACATCTCATAAGTGCTTTGCCATCATTGCTGGTAGGCCAATACTTTTCATTACAAAGGATAGTGGATGTTGGTGTATTATTGGTGATTGCAACCACTGTCTCAAGAACATCTGCCCAAAACTTCTTTGGTAAATTCATGCCTATAAGCACTGCTCTAGCGCGCGTCATTATTGTACGGATTCCTCTCTCAGAAACGCCATCTTGATGAGAAGATTGGGGTGTAGTTGGTTCCCAAATTGTGCCATCTTTGGCCATCATCTTGGACATTTTTGCTGATCGAAAAACACCATCAATATCTGTCCTAACTTGCGCTGGTGGTGTAAAACCAAGGTTCTTCATGAATTGGACCCAGTGAGCATAATAATCCACAGCTTGATCCTTGGTGTGTAAAAAATATATCCACCTGTGGCATCATCAGTGATGAGCATATGATATTTGGTTCCTTGTCTTGATTCAATAGGGTAATCAGACATATCATCCAGCGTACGACCGCCACCAGCGAGGTCAATGTGAACACGTTGCATTGCTCGTAATGCCTGTGGCATAGGGGTTTGAGAGAACTTGCATGTCATGCCTGCTTTTACACAACTGTCACAGAAGAAGCCTGTTTTAGGCCCTTTGATGTGAATGCCAGATGAAGGGTCTTTTGCGAGTGCAATAATTGCCCAGCATGAATATGCCCTAGGTTGACATGCCATTCCATAAGAGTTCTGGTCAAGGGGGTGTGGTCATCAGATCCTCCTGTCGTTGTCGACATGGCGTCCCCATACTCATGAGATTTAGCCATAAAATTGATGGCTCAGGACGGATGATGGATATCACCTTGGGATTCTCGTTCTACTATCTTGTATATTGAATTTATGGGCGTACAAATGGCAGTGAAATTGACGCCATTCAGAGCCCTTATCATAAAGTGGGAGGGGATGGTGTTTGAGAGCTGATATCAAAAACCTTGATCCTCTAGCACCGCGAGGGACAGGAGGTTGACAGTAAGATTGGGGATCCAGTGGACATCATTGATTAGGATATCTCCTCCTTCTGATTCTAGAAGAATAGCACCTGTCTCTTTGACCTGTCCATGGCCTCCATCTGCAGTATTGATCCCTAAATCCCCCTTGAATGGCTTTGCACACAATATTGAGTGCTTTTCACCTGTCATATTGAAGCTTGCGCAGGTGTCAAGATACCAGGATTTAGAGGTAGTGTTGGATGACGCAGATAGAGCAATTACTGTGTTGGCATTTGGTTGTGAGGCAAGGAGATCTGGCACTTTGCTGCCAGAAGGTTTGTCATCATCCTTATTCTTTTCCTTATTCTTACCCTTGTCCTTCTTTTTATCCTTTTCCCTTCTTTTGACACTCTCAGAGTTATTGGTGCCTTTCTCCTTTTGAAATTCCTTCCACCATTCTGGTGCCTTATCAGGGCTTAACCGAAAGCAATGAGCCTTTGAGTGTCCTGAAATGTTACAAAAACCGCACCTAGTGGATGTGGTGGAGGTTGTATTGTTATTGTCTTTAGTGGCTGTGGTAGCCCTTGGAGCTCTAGTTCGCTCTGAGTCTTTTGCCTTGCTTGATCAATGAGCAAGTTGCTTCATCAGGTCATCAATATCCAAGTTGATGATAGGACCCTGACCTGTCCCATAAAATGTGTCAAGGTGTGATTTGACGTAGGTCCTTTGATGATCGCGGAGGTCAATAATGAAGAAGTCATGGAGAAAGTCTTCATGGGGGTTCTTTGCGAGTTCTAGAATGCGAGCAGAGAGGTAGCGGAATCAGTGTACATCTGACAGATAATAACTGTCCTTGACGTGTAGGTATGTCAATTCTTTTAGGATGCTGATTCTCTCTTCCCCTAAGGACATCGCATACTCTATGCCTATCTTCTCCCATAGGGCTGCTGCGTTATCTGGTTGGATGGTCCCAAGCGTTGTTCTGACAGGGCCCACCAGAGATTGCAACATCCGACGGTAGAGAAGTTTTGAGCGTATTGTCCAATATCATTGATCAAGTGGTGATAAGCCTTGAGGGGGCTCATGTTGGTTTTTGTTTAAAATATCTGCACCACCAATCACTTCTGCATCTGATAAGATGCTAATCTTCCATGCTTGATGATTGGTTTCATCAAATGTGGTGACAGACTTAGTGTCCAATGAGGCCTGCATCTCCTTCTGATAGTCACGGGCCAGTTGTTTCTGATCTTCCATAAAGGTGGTGTTTAGGATTGGGCGTGCTGAGAGCAATTGCTGACAGAGTGCCCTAAGGTCTGCTGCTGACATGGTCACCATGCCATTGGCATTAGGTGTAGGCATCGGCATAGGACTGGGAGTGCCATCATCAGACTCATCGCGTTCTAGCATCTTACCAGTATCACGCGCTGAGCCAGAGGCCTCTATTGTATTTTCCTCTGCCATTGCATATTCTGTTCTGTCTCCTTCCGCTTCTGAACTGGACTCTTGTTCAGTGATCAGGGGGAAGGATTGAGGGACTCTTGATTGTGATCGTAATGTCTTTTTACGTTCTGATCGAGGGGTTGGTGGTAATCGAGAGCCGCTCATGATAGATGTACAGTTCTAATCCATTAAGATGGCAATTGCTTCTCTGCTGTAGCTACAACAGTATTACTGTCAGATATAACCAGTTTTGTATGCAAAGAGCTTTCTTTCCAGGGAGATAATCTTGAAATCATCCAATATCGCGTTGGTTGCAGCGTATTCTAATTAAAACGTCTCGTTTCTCTTAAAAATCTTCTATCCGGGCCATAACCTGTGGGACGGTTGGTCTTCCATTGGTGGGAGGACTGGCCAGCTAACTGATAAACGCGCACATCACGTGAGGTGGTGCGGCTACCGGGCGGTCATGCCCAACAGAAACCTCTCGCTTTTTTCTCCCAATATGAGAGATTCAACCATCCCGCATAAACAATACGCCGTGTCACGTGATATATTCACGTGATGAGATAAACCTAATCTGTAGCGGCGCCCGCCTGGGTGGTGTTGCCCTAGCGACCGCCCCGGCCACACGTGATCGCTTGTATGTAATATAGCAATAACCTAGCTAGCTCCTCCGAATAGAAGGTTCAACCATCCCACACCTAATCCCCTATCTAGATCCCGTGATCGCTGGGCCTAACAGAATTTAAAGATTCTAGGTAGAGAAAGTCATCTTACTGGAACTCAAAAGGCGGTGATAAAAATCTGGTTCCAATTTATAACTATTTATTAAAGGAAATGTGATGACACTTGATGTTGAGAGTTGAGTGTCAAAAGGAAAATATTGTAGAGAATAAGAGGATAGGTGCTTAGAGCGCTGAGAAATAAAGAGAATAGTGATGAGTGAAACATGCCACTGGATCTCCGGATCTCCTAGAAAGGGATCCAGGGGGTGGAGTGGGGATATAGAGGTGTAGGGCAAGGTAGCATAAGGAGTCTTGGCATTACAGGATAACAAGAATTTGAAACTTCGCCCTTCCCACAAACTCCTGGAGCGCTACTTCTGATCATGAATTCAAGGATTCACAGGCCTCTCATACAGACTGACATCGTCTCTTCTTTGATCGACTCCCATCCATAGGCACTGTTGCCAGGAT